GTTCAAATTACTTTCTTACTTTGTGTTATCTATGGAGCTATTAATTTACAAGATGAAGTATTTAGTAACCTCAGGGAATAGTTCCCAAATTACACACTGACTTACAAGCTATATAATCTTGGCCAAATTATTTTACATTTTCAAGCTTCTATTTCTTCACTTATGAAATGGGGATTAAAATAGTCCTACCTCACAGCCTTGTAAGATGCAACAGATGCATACAACTTTAGTGTTGGTACCACTGTAAACTTACACAACAGTTATTATTACATTATTTCTACTGGAATAAATTCCAGCATTAAAATAAAATTCCCTGAGGGCTGGGGATATAGCTCAGTTGGTAGAGTGCTTGCCTCCCACGTACAAGGCCCTGGGTTCAATCCTCAGCACCACAAATAAGTAAGTAAGTAAGTAAATAAGTAAAATTCCTGGAGCCGAGAATGGTGGTGCATGCCTATAATTCCATCTAAAGCAGGAGGATTACAAATTCAAGCCCACCCTTGGCAACTTAGATCCTGTCTCAAATAAAAAGGGGTAGAGATGTAACTGAGCACCCCTGGGTTCAACCCCAAGTACAAAACACAAAACAACAACAAAAATCTCCAAAGTACTTTTAAAGGTAGAATCGTTCTCCTACAAAGAATGTGTTGTTAGTTTTAGTGATAGAAAATTTTTAAAATATTGTCTTTTAAAATATCTGATCCTGCTCCCACAATCTTTCATGCCCTTCCTTTCCATCTTGGGCCTGGCAGAATGGCTCCCACAAAGAAGGGTTGCAAGAGGGGCTGTTCTGCTATCAATGAGGTCGTGACCTGGGAATACACCACCCACATTCACAACATCTGGAAATCTGCCATGATGAAGGAAATGGGAACTCCAGATATGCGCACTGATACTAGGCTCAAAGTTGCCTGGGCTAGAGGAACAAGGAATGTCCCATATCACATTCAAGTGCAATCATCCAGAAAACATAATGAGGACGAAGATTCACCAAACAAGCTTGATACTTTGGTAACCCATGTCCCTGTTACCTTGTTCAAAAATCTAGTCAATGTGGATTAAAAACTGTAAAAGAACAACAACAAAAAAACCTGATCTTCTTGTACAGCTGATGGTTCCATTTTATTTGACTCTGTATATCAGCAATTACGCTTTGTCAAGTTGTGTGCCAGCACTGAGAGCACAGAAATGAGACACACCTGCTCTTTGTCAAACAGCTCACTAATGTTTGCTATCACTGTCCCAATCCTGTACACCTATATTTTGAATTTCTTTTTCAGTTGTAAATGGACATGATATCTTTATTTTATTTACTTTTATGTGGTGCTGAGGATTGAACCCAGTGCCTCACACGTTGTTGTTGTTTTTGGATAGCAGAATCATAGAGGTAGGAAAACATACTATACCTAACAGTGGTGGCCCCAGGAGGACAGGACAGCATTCCACAATGGTCACCAATCCCACAGCGCTGGAGAACCTCTGTGGTCCAACGAGGTCCATCAATGTTTCAAACAATACAGAGCTGAGCCACCCAAAGGCAAATCCAAAGAATCCCGCATAGACACAGAACCCAATGTAGGTGTTGGCAGATAAAGGTGCTAACAAATGACATGCTCCATTTGCAATAACAGAAGCAGCAAAGAAATACTGGACTCGCGGTCTTATCCACTTTGTGTTGGCTACCAGTCCCATGGAAGGTCTGGCTACCATGTCAACAAAAGCCAGAATGGAAAGAAGGAAGGCTGACTTCTCATTAGAATAATGCTTACTCTTGCCATAATTACTAAGAAAAACCAAAGGTGTAAAGAGTCCAAAAAACATGATCACATTTCCAGAGAGATACAGCAAAAAGCCTCTGTGTGTGAACAGGGACAAGTCCAGGAACTGGTTAATTTTTTGAATAGGTGAACGTTTTTCCTTTTTGCGGTTTCCTCCAATGAGATCTGTATTTGCATCACCTACATTCTTTGCATCAGATTTTCCAGCTTCTTGAAGGGATTCTTTGGACCTAACATTTTCTTTCTTTGTTGGCTTTGGCCCTATGGGTCGCATCAAGGATCCAGCTACACAGCAATTTAATAGGAGGCCCCCAAGAATTAGGAAGCTTCCTCTCCAGCCAAAGATACCAAAGAAAGCCTGATTGAGGGGGGCCAAAGTAGAGAGGAACACAGGGCTGCCAGCCATAGCCAGTCCATTTGCCAATGGTCTCTTTTTGTAGAAATACTTGCCAATCATGGTCAAAGCAGGATTCAAGTTGAAAGCAAGCCCAAGACCTAAGGGAAAGGGGCAAAATTAACTTTTATAAATATCAGAAATATCTCCAATATTACTTARCCAGACAAAGAAACTAAAATAGGAGGTATAAGTAATAGAAAGGGACAAAAGAGTCTCATTATTGGCTACACTCTATAGTGGTTTAAAGTGTGAATTCAAAAGTGAACTACAGAATTCAAATCTCAGCAACACTACTTATTGGCTCTGCAACAGCCCGAACAACGAGTAATACTATTTCAAAATAAAAAATAAGCTGGGCATGGTGGTGCACACCTGTAATCCCAGTGGCTGGGAGGCTGAGGCAGGAGAATTGTGATTTCAAAGTCAGCCTCAGCAAAAGCAAGGTGCTAAGCAACTCAGGGAGATCCTGCCTCTAAATAAAATACAAATTAGGGATGGGGATGTGGCTCAGTGGTTGAGTGCCCCGAGTTCAATATCCAGTACAAAAAATAAAAATGGCTAGGAATGTAGCTCAATGATAGACTCTCCCTGGGCTCAATACCCAGTACTTCAGGCAAGCACTCAACTACTGAGCTATATTCCCAGTCCCATTATTCTTATATCAGTAAGAAAATGAATTTAGGGCTGGGGATGTGGCTCAAGCAGTAGCTCGCTTGCCTGGCATGCGCGGGGTGCTGGGTTCGATCTTCAGCACCACATAAAAACAAAGATGTTGTGTCCATCGAAAAACTAACAAATAAATATTTAAAAAAAAAAAAGAAAATGAATTTATAACAGTTGTCAAAAAACATGTTTAAAAATTATACTCAAAACACCTAGACACAAAATGAAAAAACATTTTCTAGATTACCCCTTACTTTCCTAATATGCAGAGACAAATTACAATCTGAAGGTACGCATTACCTATTGAATTAGAAATGATGAAACAAACAAACAAAAAGGATACCCCATTGTTGGCAAGTACATCCTCTCTCATACTGTGGCAGGACTCTTATTCACCCTTTTCTGGAGGACAATTTAGCATATATGTATTTAAATAGCAAACATAGAAGGAAGGGAATGTAGCTCAGTGGTAAAATGTTTGCCCAGCATGCACAAGATACCCAGCAAAAGAAACAGAGAAAATAAAAGACATACTGCAGTTTCCCTTAAAAACCCTTAATAAGCAGGCATGGTGACAAATGCCTGTGATCCCAGCATTCTGGAAGGCTTAAGGCAGGAGGCTCATGAAGTTCAAGGCCAGTTTCAGCAACTTAATGGGGCCCTAAGCAATTTAGTGAGATACTGCTTCAAAATTTTTTTAAAAAGTGGGGACGGGGGTGGGGGGGGGGAGAAATTGTCATTCAAGAGATCTGAAAATTGAACGCAAATGAGTACTAAACGACCAGCAAAAAATTAACACTCAAAAATGAATAATACTTCACCTCCAATGACACCAATACACAAGTAAAGTTCCGATACAGTGTTACAGAAAGAAGCTGCAATCAAGCCACAGCCAGACAAGCAGCCACCAATAATCATGACTGGACGACTGCCGTATTTATTCACCAGGATACTGCTGATGGGACCTGGGAGAGAACAAAAAATTTAATATATAGGAACCATATTCCCTCATATCTACACAAGGCATGAATAATAACAAAGAACAAGTCCTCTAAAATGGCAATGATAAGAATCTATTATTATCTGCGAGTCATATATATGTGTGCTAGAAAATAAAGACATTTCAAGATATACTAAAATACAAAAGATCCCAGTCCATCATTAATTTTTTTCTTTTAAGGCATTGGGAATACCTTGTTAATGAATGTTCACAGGGAACTTGATGCATGCAGGATGATCAACCTATGTATAGTAAGTTTGCTCTAGTTTCAATTTTTGGACAGGCATTTTGATATGATGAGATGTAAGAACACATCTGAGTAGGTTTCTAATTTTAGTGCATTATTTATACATTACAACCAATGTGGCTTGTGTCACAAAGAAAAAAAAACAGTCAATAATACATAATAATTTTTTTTAAGTTTAAGTTTTCCAAGTAGGTCATTAAAAAAAAAAAAATTCTCAGTTACATCTAGATGTCTCAGGTATTGAACTGAATACATCTTTTATTTTTCAATTACTATGTTTCAATACTGTGAAAAAAAGCTTGCAGAAGATCAAGTTAGATAATAATCAATTTTATAAAAGTAGTTGTAACGAGACTCCAAAACAAAAAAGGGCCAGGTGTGGTGTTATGCACCTATAATACTGCAGCTCAGAAGGCTAAGGCAGGAGAATGGCGACTTCAAAGCCAACCTCAGCAACTTATGGAGGCCCTAAGCAGCTCAGTGAGAAAGCACCCACCCCTGGATTCACTCCTCAGTACCAAAAAAAGGTGGGGTATGAAATGAAAGGTTATTTGGGTAACCAGATTAAATTCTCAGCTAAACGTACGAAGATGATTAGTTTTACTTGAATGGGAAAGAACCACATGACAAATAATCAGAAAAAGAATTTTATGTATAAATTTTCAAATACAGAAAACATGGCCTCTCACTTGCTATGAGCAAGCAAGTACAATTTGYCCCCCCACTTTTTCCTTTTTTTGGTGGTACTGGGGATCGAACTCAGAGGCACRCAACCACTGAGCCATATCCCTGACCCTTTTTTGCATTTTATTTTGAGATAGGTTGCTTAGGGACTCGCTAAAGTTGCTGAGGCTGGCTTTGAACTCAAAATCTTCTTTGCCTCAGCCTTTAGTTTTACTAAATAAATATATTTTTATCCTTTTGAGATTCATTATCATGATGATTGGATTTTCACACCATGTGTGAGATGTGCCTCTTTCATCAGTCATGACGTTGGCACAGTACTTGTCTGATGTAGAGGGAAAACAAAAAAAGGGGGGAAAAAAACTAACAACATTAGCAGATTTTTTTTTTTACAAAATGGAGTAACATACATTGAATTTCATTTATTCATATTTATAAAACTACTTGTGTCATATGTCATGCATATGGATTATGGAAATGATAACTAGGTTTACAGGACACATCAGTCTATCTGGTTAAGGTAGATGACTGCAAATGGAAAAGGCTTAATGCAATGCCTCAGTAGGGAAGAAGATACAAGAAAAGAACCGATTCTAGAACTTGCAAAGTCACAAAGCTAGTGAGAGCTGAGTTTCACATCTAACCTATCCCCACTATCCTACTATAGTACTCTGTAGTTTTGGAAAAAAGTTATACTGCAGAAGACACAAACCACATTTCTATTAGCACAGCACATTCTGACCTTACTGTGTTTCTTTCTATACTTAGCTCCCCTAGAAGACAATATGTTTATTTTAAAAATCATAAACTGACTCTACATATTCAGAATACACTGATAATATATGCTAGTATTATTCAGAGTTGCCACATGGTATACTGATATTAAAAGGACAGGCTCTGATCCAAGGGAATCCTAATTCAAATTATGGCTCCATCACTTTCTTCTCTTTGCTCCCCAGAGGTAGTGGTGGTAGTTATTATTATTTTTTATTATTAATTATTTGCAGTACTGGAGATTGAACCCCGGGCCTCACAACTTGAGGTTATTATGAATTTACCTTTTAGGGTTGTTGAAAAGAATAAAAACGAATTCACATGTGAAGTGTTTAATAGGTCTTCTTCAACAAATATTGGTAGTAATAATGATAACATTAGTGCACATGCTTATGCTTTTGTGCACTTGTTTGCACGCACTCTCTAATCATCTGATACAGACATATGTATGCTTAATAATATGAGAGGGAATCAAAACTTTTGATTATCCTTGTGTCTCAGAGGACCAAGTCTAAGTAAGTGGCTGAGTCAAGGACTAGCTGCCCAAAAGGCTCCACCCAGAGCGTGCACAAAACAGTTTCCAATGATACCTTCTAAGTCACTGCTATAGTCTGAATGTTGGTGTCCCCTCAAACCTAAGGAAACCTAACCCCTAAAGGAGCAGTATTAAGAGATAGGGCCTTTAAGAAATAATTAGGTCATGAGGGCAGAGCCTTATGAATGGAATCAGTGTCCTTGTAAAAGAGGCCTGAGGGTGCTTGTCTTCCCTTCTGTCATGGGAACATGCAGCTAGAGGTAACCATCTATGAGGAACAGACTCTTAACAGATACCTGAAAAGACTAACAGTCACTTAATGAAAATATTAGGTCCCAGGTAATTTGAAAATAATCTGAAGTTATAGATTTCGTGAGACTGAAAAACTGAACACTGAAAGAATATTTGCAAAATGGTTCCATATAAATCAGTAATGAGATCTTTGTATAGTCAGAATTACAAAGATTAATATTGCTATACTGTTGAGTCTATGAAGTATAAGTTAATACTGTAAATTTTGCATTCAAAATTCCAAACCAGAGTATTAAGATATTCATTGTGAGACAGGTGAGGTGGTGCCTGTAATTCCAGCAGCTTGGGAGGTTGAGACAGGAGGATTAAGTTCAAAACCAGCCTCAGCAAAATCGAGGTGCTAAGCAACTCAGTGAGACCCTGTCTCTAAATAAAATTTAAAAATACAGCTGAAAATGTGGCTCAGTGGTCGAGTGTTCCTGAGTTCAATTCCCCCACAAAAAGAAATTTATTGTGGTACTGAAAATATGTAAATTGAAGCTTTCATATTAAAAAAAGGAAAAACAAAAAGGAAGCAACTAAGATAATCTCCTAATAATATACTTACATTCTTAATAACTATCGGTACCTATCTCTTACCCAAAGCACTAAAAACAAGACTATCACTCACAGCTGAAATCATACTACCATTTAGAGTGTAGTCTTAGTGCACAAGATAAAGGATTATGACAGGGCTGGGGTTGTAGCTCAGTGGTAGAGCACTTGCCTCTCATGTGAGAGGCACTGGGTTCAATTCTCAGCACCACACATAAATAAATTAAAAAAGGTCCATCAACAACTAAAAAAAAAAAGGATTATGACAGCTGTGAGATGAAAATTCTTAGGGGACATATCACTTAGAGAAACAACAACAAACCATTTAATAAAACTTCTGCCACACAGCTCATGATAGGCAATTTGTCCTTCAGAGTTATTTAAGGAATGATGGCCCTAATTAGCTATAATTAAAAATAGAAAGCGGTAGTTTACAGGCCTATAAGACAAACTCAGAGAAATGTGCTAGTTATCTCACTAACTGGGTGAGGACAAAGAAGGAACTGTTTCCCCTAAAGGAAAGTGTCACATGCAATTAGCACAAGTGACATCACTTACTTTTGATGCAAAATACAAGTGGCTCCCAAGCTCTTTGGTAGTTTAGAATTGCAACATGTGAACCTCTGATTTGTAATCAGCTTAAAGATACAATGAATACCTGGAATGCCTCTGGATAATACTTATGCCAATTTCTTCAAGTCATCATACTCAAAATCTGGTTAGAAACTCTGGCAGATTGGAGTTCAAAGCCTGTAAATTATAGGTGCTCAGAAACTACAAATGTCCAAAGTCCAAAGTTTCTGAACTTAAAAAAAAAAAAAAAAAAGTACTACAATTTAGCCCTTAATTTCTTTTAAAATGTATGCGAAAGACCTAACAGGCCTATCTTAAAATTGTAAAAAGCAGAAAAAGCTGCATGGTGAAAAAAATAGGTATTCCCACTCTTGTTCCTAGACACCCAGGTTATCTTCCTCCAAGGCAACCATTTTATCTATTTCTTCTGTGAAAATTTAATAATGCGTAATTTAATTATGATTTCTACTACATATTCCTGCTTCATAAGCTTATATTATTATCTCCAAAGAATTATAAATTTCTCAGAGGAAGAGATCAGGACCAGTGTTCTTTATTATAACAAATAGCTCAGTGCTGAGTATACTCATGGAGCCCAGTAAGTACTAGTCCAATTTGCTACCAGTTTAGCAGCCAAAGGCTAAATTATTTGCAGGTTAAGTGTAGAATCTTTTCACATGCTAGGCAAGCACTCTACCACTGAGACACATTCCCAGCTCCTAGAATCTTTATAATGGCTATTAAAGATTTACATGTGAGTTTAATTGGAGGCAATAAATTGCTAACAATGACAAGATATAACAGAATTTTGTCTAAACAAAGAAACGACACACTGTCAATCCCAATAAACAAAAGCACTTGGCTCTAGAATTCTTGCTAACTAAGCAACTACATATTTTATTATGGTAGGTTTAACTTTTTTACACGTTTAACTGTGATTCGATGTCTCATAGCAGTATTTTAAATAATATTAAGTAAGCAATTTACTCTCTACATAGCTTTCATAACATGCCAAAGAAAACAGAAAGGAAAGAAATGATAAAAACTCAAGTTTAAAGTACAAATGAAATGCTTTTGGGATGCAAATCACAAGAAAAAAGGGAAAGTTCTATTAGTTTTTTGATTTTTTAACACAATTAAAAGAGATTTTACCTGAGACTTTGAATTATTCTAACCAGGTTATTTTAGTTTAATTCTTCCAATATCACCTTTAAAAAATATGTTTACATTTCAATAGTCAAAAAACAAGTTTTTATGCATAACTTACCTCCTGCATACATGACGGCCAACATGATGGAAGATATCCACGATACTTCACTAGTGGTGGCATTGAATATACTTTCAATTTCTTTAAAGAAGACTGTAATGGATTTGGGAAATGCATAAGAGAAGCCGATAGAAATGAAAGCTCCAATTACCACTGCCCACCCCCAGCCTCCATCTGGGGGGGTATATCCAACTGGTCCTCCAATTGCTGGTGGCATTTTAGGTATAGATGAATTCCAAAATGTAGCTCAAATCCAAATATCTGAAGAATATAAAATTAAAATAGTATGTCAATAATAAAGTATCCTAAAACAAAACAAAACAAAACAAAACAAAAACCCTTCTTTGCAGCAATAATGTGTTTCACTCCTGGTACCTGGAATAGAGCCCTGTGTGTGGTAGCACACACCTGTAATCCGCGTAACTCAGGAGGCGAAACAGGAATACTATAAATTTGAGGCAAGCCTCAGCAACTTAGTGAGACCTTATCTCAGAAGACTAAGGATGTGGCTCAGTGGTAAAGCGCACCTGGTTCAATCCCAGTACTAACAACGACGACAAACTTGAACCAAGTAGAACAGATTTCTGTCAAACAAAATCATGTTTGCTGGGTGCAATGGCGCACGCCTGTAATCCCAGCAGCTCAGGAAGTGAAGGCAGTAAGATCGAAAGTTCAAAGCCAGCCTCAGCCACGGGGTGGTGCCAAGCAATTCAGTGAGACCCCGTCTCTTGATAAAATACAAAATTGGGCTGGGTATGTGGCTCAGTGGTTGAGTGTCCCTGAATTCAATCACTAGTACCCCCCCCAAAAAAATCACATTTCATTTTAATTAAAATAAATGTGTTGAATTACACATCACTGTGATAACCATCTCATTTTTCTAGAACTAATTTAAACTTAGAACAGGGAAGGCAGGAATTTTTTGCCCATGCAAAATAAGTTCATGCTCCCTTCAATATTTCTGACCTAATCTCTTTGGATTTCTGTCATAGGACTCTCTAAAACAATGCCTTCTATAATTTTTCCTTCCTTTAGGGCCCTAGAGATTTTTATTGCATGGGGCAGTGAAACACAGTAAGATATGGGATGAGTAAGAGATATAAAATATAAAATTATATTTTTATTTTATATTCGGGGAAGGACATTCAGATAAGGCAAGGTAGAAAAGCAGAAGACCTCAGGCATCCATTTTTAGAAAAAATGATTTTCAGCTAAGATTCCATCTAAATCTAATGATCTGGGAAAGAATTCCCTTAAAAATATCACCTAGTTTAAAGATTAAAGATGCTTATTCTAGGGCTGGGGTTGTATGTAGCTCAGTGGTGGAGTGCTTACT